ATATTATTGCTTTTCTCATGGGATTGTTGTGCAATAAAAGAGCTTAGCATGGTGACACATAATTAATGAGTGTTCAACATATTTTAATTCTATTTCTTCCCCTCATACCTGGCATGTCTTGTTAGCTACTGTCGTGTCGGTTCCAACTCATGGTGACCCCATGTACAACAGAACAAAATGCTGCCTGGTCCTGTGCCATCCCCATGATTGGCTGCAAAGCAAACTGTTGTGACCCACAGAGTTTTCACTGGCTGAATTTCAGAAGTAGATCACCAGGCCTTTCTTCATAGTCTTAGTCTGGAAGCTCCACTGAAACCTGTTTAGCATCATAGCAACATGCAAGCTTCCACTGATAGATGGTTGGTGACTGTGCATGAGGTGCACTGGCTATCTTACAAAATGTCAGTGAAGATGACAGCATTCTTCCTACAAAGACTGTAAGTGAATAAAGAAACTACAAGTATAAGCTATTGCTTACCAGTAGCTTGTCCATGCCTATTTAAACTATTTTCCCCCAATTTTTCAGATTAAAATGAATTGCTTCTGAATGTATTTTTTTTTCTTCTTTCTCTTCCCCCTTCCCAGAATTATAATAGGCCAAAACTGGAGACCAGACAGTATGTGAGATTCACTGAGCCAAAATGAGATGAGGGAAATATAGCAGCCAAAATTTCCACAGCACTTGTGTAGAATAAATTCACTGATTCTGAGGTTATAGAAACAAAGCATATGAGTTTGCAACCACCTGCCTTATGTACAAAGCTGCATGCATTTCCCACTTTCCAGTCCAGTGGTATACTCTATAGGATTGATTGAGTAGAATCCAACTCTGCTTGTCATTTTTGCAAAAATCTGACCCCAATTACAGTTTTTTAAAGTATTTTTTTCCCGTGAAAATATTTACTTGTCCTGAACTTTTATGACCTTTTCCAAGATCCTATCGTAGCACATCTGGAAACAAGTAAGCATTCTCTTAAACCAATTCAGTCAAAACTTTTGGGTGCTAAAGTGATGTTTGAAAGCCAGCGTATCAATGACATTGCGTGAAATTTTTGCTTCATGATTCCTTTTCCTGTTTTCACAGCAAGAGGAGCTATGGGCTGGAAAAAAATAAAGGTCCCTGGCATGGCACAGCCCTGCCATCCGTGAGGGCAGGGCCGTGAAGGCCTGGAGAGTCACAATCCAGGCCTGTGAAGTTAAGTCTTGGACCAGGTCAGAAGATCAGCAGGAAAATATTTCCACAGAGTATATTACAGAGTACTCTCACTCATCTATTCTATTGGACATTCTTCCATTTATTCACATTTACCTTAAAAATGAATGAATGGATTAGGGTGCTGCTGAGGGGAAAAAACGTGTCCTGCATTTTCAGAGGAAGCAGAAATGTAAGGTCTTAAATTTTCAATCTAGTAAACCTTTCAAAATTGCAAATTAATTCTCATTTTGCTAGGTTGCTTGTGGGGTTGTTCTCATAAATTCAAAATCATAGAGATCAGGAATTTGGTACGAAACCAGATGCTGAAGGCCCAGTCGAAAAAAAAAAGCAAAAGTAAGCACCTAATATGTAGAATGGCCAAATGTTTAAAATGCAGCATTTTAATTCAAGCATTTATAAACAGTAGTTGAAGTGAATAGATGCATTAGACTGCATTTGCTACAACATAAAGTAAAACTTCAAAACAAGATTATGAAAGTGATTTTTATTATTTTCATAATGGTGCCCCATTATAGGCAATTACAGATACAGAATTTTCTAAGATGGAATATCAAACAATAAAAGTCACATATTAATGCTGTGTCCCCAAAATCTATTTCAGTTACAACTGTGTACGGTAGCTGCTATGTGTGTATTAAAAGCATATGTGGTAAAGTACAAAATTAAGAAAAGGGTAAATAAAAAGTCATCCTTTAGTTATAGTTATCAACTGCTAAAGTGTACTTTTTTATTCACACAATTGTTATAGCTTAAATCATACAAATTAATATATCTGCTATGCAACTATTTGATCTACTGTAGATCTAACATGGAAATATTAAGGTTGTAATAACATTTCACAGGTAAAGGCTAAGTTCTGGAACATGAAAGCTTTTAGATAATCCACAAAACAAACCTGAGATATCTTTTGTTTTGGAAAAAAGCAATTTTCTTACAAAGTCAAAGCTTTAATATCTTTAATCGGGCATTTCATAAACAAATACACTTTAACTATTGCAATAACGTGGATCAGATGTTCTGATTTTAGTGGTGGTCAGCAAATACACTCTATCTCTGGCAGAAGTAAAATGAGATTTTCTGATGAAGCCAGTAATTTGACTACTGTAGCCCCCAAACTCAGTTTTTTCATTTGTTTGTTTCGGTTTTCTTCTTTAACTAGGCTATACACAGATTAAATAAATCAGGTAACCTCCTAACACATACTTTACTTTCTTCTACATAAGCAGAGCTTTCCCATTACCACCACCAACAGATGACGACTAAGCCCACGTACATAAAAGCAGGTTATGGTACACCTGGGCCTGGCTGACTTAATGAACTATCCAGATTGGTACATGATTATTTTTGCTGCCATACATCTCTAAACTAGAGTAAATACGCTAAGGCAGCCCAAATTCAGGGTACATATAACATTTTGGCATAACCAGTGATAGAAAAATTAAAGATCTGTTGGGTAAGCCTGATTTCTATATTTCACTTACATGCCTTTTAAAAATACTGACACACTTTTTCATATTCAAGAGATACAGCTATAAAAGTTTTAATAATAAAAAATTATATAAGATCTTTATTAATAAAAAACTCCAAATTACAAAACAGATCTATGTTATCGTTGTTTTGTACTGTTGAGTCAATTCTGACTCACGGCAACTCCATGTGTTACAGAGTAGAACTGCTCCATAGGATTTTCTTGGCTGTAATCTTTATGGAAGCAGATCGCCAAGACTTTTCTTCCGAGGTGCCGCTGGTTGGGTTCAAACTGCCAACGTTTCGATTACTAGCCAAGTGTAAACCATCTGTGCCACCAGGGACTTATGTTGTAGTTAAAAAAGTTTTTTAAAAAAGTCTATTTGTGATTTTTAACACTGGCAAACTAAACATCTTTTTCTTAATGTTTAGGTTTTAAATTTTGTGCTTCAAATTAATTAATTTGGAATGAATGGGGAAATGTTTAATTATTTTCCCTCCTTTTCATTCTTTCTCTCCCTTTTCTATTATCACTTCCCCCCTCTACACACACAATCATCATACAATCCACCCTTTGTAATTCTAACAATTCCAAAACACTTAATAAAAACGTAACAAGCAACAAGCTTTTAGGACATTGTAGACCTTTCTTCTGACGTTCACCTTCAATGAACGTTAAAACTTCAAAGTACACTTTGTACTTTTGCAATCTTTCATCACTTTTTAAAAGTTTTCGTTATTTACATAAACTGAACAGATGCATTTTGTTCAAGCTTTATGTTTTCACAGCCACCAAAGTGATTGCTCACTGGGTTCGCCATTCTAAATATCACAACTGATCTGATCAGCTCACTGTAACACACACAAAACAGCCTCCCAGGACTATCTTCCGACTTTCCAAAAAAGACATCAATAACTTTTTTTAAAAAAACATGTTTAAAAGAGAAAAGAAACAAATGGACCTTTCTTTTTCTGGCTTCTAGGTCAGTTATAATGGCATTTTTCCTTCGTTACCTTCCACAGCAAATGAGCAGATTTCCACTAACTTCAACTCAATAGTTAATAATCAGATGGCTTTAAAATTAAGTGAAAATATAAACATGCTGGGAGTTTGGAATTTTTAACACATAATTAGATCAATTTGTGGTATTTCAAAAAGAGATTCTATATTACGAACACAACTTTAAAACAAGACTGTAAAATGATAAGGAACACGTAGATCCAACTTTGAGACTTATCTGTTCTCATCCAAGTTTTGGTTGAGAAAAGAGACCTTTCTTCAGCTGGGTTTCTGTGATATAAAAAATAATAATTATATGTATTTTACTCAAGCTCATTTAATGTATTTGTGCCAAAATTCGTTGACTTTGTTGCATTTTTTGATTTACAAAGACATTATGAGACATATATGATCTAACCTTTTCTAACAAAATAATTAATATTAACGTATTGTTTATGAATACTTATGCTGTATGTATATTGAAAATTATTTGGTGAATGTTTTTTTATTTATATCTATGAGACTTATTGAAATTGGTGTATTACAATCACATAATTTAAAGCTTTGCTAGGCAGACAAATTTTTCTTCTCATATTTGGAATACTATAACTTTGACAACCAAGACAGAGATGTCTTCAGCTTGAAATTTTACAGTTCAACAATCTACACTTTAAAATTCACGGTAAATCACTGAAATCCACTATAATCACTACATCAACTATTAATTTCTTTTTGAGCAACCAACTTTATGACTTGTCCTAGAAAAGTAAAGAAGCACATCAGTAGGCAAAAGATAAATCTATCCATAAATACGATAGCCTATTTTATTGAAAAGGTGAGAAGGGAAATCTCTGATCTTTACCATTTCCTTTATCACCCTCACTCACATATCTTACACTGAAATGACTTGCCTTTGCATATTCAACAATATATTCTGATACCTTGCATAAATACAATTTTCTACGGAGCAGATTTCAGTTCATGGAAGATACATCTTGGATCCCACTCAAGGTTTGGTTAATAAAATACCTCTTCATTAGGGAGAGTGTGTGTGTGTGTGTAACTCTAAAGAATTCTCTCTCAAGAAACTGTTACTACCAGGCTCTAGCATATATATAAGTACTCCTTGAGTCCTTTAATTCTTTGACTCAAAAAATCTTTCAGGAGCTCCTGCACAGCCCAGTGCTCATGAAGAGCCACTCCAAGCAGGTGTGGAGCACACCCCATCTGCAGGGCCGTGGGTTTACGCATGCTTTAGAGGCTAAAAGCACAGAGAAGCTAGAACAAGTTGAATTTTACTCCCATTTCACAAGACTTGTGCACTTTTAAGATTTTAGCTGGCCTCTGGCTTCTCACTGGCAATCTTCCTCAGCTTGAAACTTTTGGACAGCACGGTCAAGGAGCTCCATAGACTCCCTGAGAGTGACATTGATTTTAAACGACTTGGGTTTAATGGTCAGGCCGTAACTGAAATCCATTTCCGAGGGCTCGTCGGGGTTGGCCCTGAAATTGCACTGGTGAGCCAAGATGGAGAAAAAGAGAAATAGCTGCACCTTGGAGAGTTCCTCCCCAATGCACCGCCGTCTGCCCATTGAAAAAATCATCACGTTGCTGGCTAGGTTCTTGTCGATGAAGCCGTCCTTGTCCAAGAATCTGGCTGGATTGAACTCCTCAGGGTTAGGCCACTTCCCCGGGTCATGATTCATGGACCACTGGTTAACAAAAACCACCGTGTCCTTGGGGATGTGGTAACCCAGGACAGAGGCATTGGTGGTGGTGGCGTGAGGAATGGTGATGGGCACAAAGCTGGAGAAACGCATGGCTTCATAAATAAAGGCCATGATGTAGGGCAGGTTGGGCTGGTCGTCCATACAGGGTAGACGATCTCTACCCACAACTTGATCCAATTCTGCCTGTACTCGAGCCTGCACTTCAGGATACCTGTTTGGTTTTTAATAGAGGGAGTAAACAAGTGAGAAAAATTAATTCTTCTTTCATCTAGCAAGTACATTACACTTTAATTCCACTTTTCTTTATCTGAGTCAGTGAATGGATGAACATTTCCAGCAGATAGACTGTTCTCAGCATTACACAAAGATAACCGTTATCTTGATAGACAACTGCTACATATTTTCCAAGCTCAAAAGCAAATTCCCAAAAGGAAAGCAATAATGGTTGCACAACATGAAGAATGTAATCAAGGTCACTAAATTATACACATAGAAATTGTTGAACTGGCAAATGTTTTGTTGTGTATATTTTTACCACAATTGTTTTTAAAAAAAACAAATTCCCAATGTTGGTGAGATCATAGTACAAATTCTAATATTTATTCATGGTTACCGATATAAACTAGTAGAACTCTTTAGGAAAACAAAATCTCATTACAAAGCAAGATCTATAAGGACAACCTACCGAATCCTTTTTTAGCCCAGTAACTCCTGTCTAAAAATGTACTTTCAGGAAATGATTTAACATGTACAAAAAATCTACAACCAAACAATAGCTAATTTTTTTAATGCAGTCTGGATCGATGATCAACACTAATGCACAAGAAGTGATTATATATATTATTATGGCAAATGTTATGCAGCCATCAGAATGACTATAATACATGTTAAAATACGGGGAACAGTCCACTACGGTAAGTGGAAGTGTCAGAAGTAAAGAAGGAAAAAAAAAGTGCCTAATTATTGCAACTCTGAAAAAAAAACTGGAAGCACATATGTGGTTTAATTAAGGGTGATTTTAAAAAAATTGCTTCTTTAACATCACATTGCAAGGTCTGCAAATGTTTTTCATAAAGGGCCACATAGTAAGTATTTTAGGCTTTGTGAACCTCTCTGTAGCAACTGCCCAAACTCTGCCTTGTCCTGTTGCCTGAAAGCAGCCAGAGACAACGCAAAAATAAACAAGCAAAGCCGTATTTCACTAAAACACATACAAAGCACGTCCTGTGATTTGCTGACCTCTGTCATAATGTCTTTCCCTAAAAAGAATACTTCTTAGCTCTACTGAATTGAAAGTAGCCCCCAGACTGTTTTCTTTCTTTTTGTTGCCCTATAGTAGTACATGTTATACGACTTCTGTCCCCTCTTCCCCTCCGTACGTTTTTCTATGATCTTCATACTGAAAAGTGACTTTAAGTATACAAAAAATTTTAAGTCTGTGAAAGTTGCTATAAAGCATCTAAAAAAAAAAAAACGTTGCGAAAAGAAACGTCTCTGCCTTCCAAATGCTTCGATGACATCAGATTCAGGGGTCCCCCCTACTTCCTTAAGGAGCCCTGGTGGCGCCATGGTTAAGCGCAGGGATGGGCTGCTGACCAAAAGGTCAGCGGTGAACCCATAATATGCCAGGCGATCTGCTCCCGTAAAGATTACAGCCTAGGAAAACCTATGGGGCAGTTCTACTCTGTCATATAGGGTCGCTATGGGTCGAATCCATTCTACAGCACAAAACAACCGCTTCCTGGAGGGCGGAGAAACGGCATTCAAGGTAATGAAGATTTGCCTGGAGCGCCGTATCTTCTTGCCCCTGGGGTAGAGTTGCCAGATAAAATACAGGACGCTTGATAAATCTTGAATTTCAGATAAGCGACTCATTTTTTAGTATACGTATATTCTACGAAAATATGTTTTTTATTTGCTATATCTGGCAACCCTATCCCGGAGTCCTGTTTAATTCGTGTGTGCACAAAGCGTCATAGAGGTCCGCGCTCTTTATCAAGGTAGGCACTGGGGCCCGGTTAGGCAAGCCGGGGGCCAGAGATGGCAAGGTCCGGAGGCTCCTCCTGGCTCTCCCATTTGCCTTTCTAGATACTGCTCTGCACTGGGTAAAAATGCTTCTCCGGTTCTTTACCCCGACACTGCTCTTACTCCAAGTGCTGCGGTTTTATAAATCCAACGCCACCCGCTGGTTTCTGGCCGCGGTTCTAAAGCTTCCGTGCCGGCTAATCGTTAGCGAGGCCGAGCCGCGGGCCTCTGAGCGTTGCCTTTCCTCGGGAACAAAGCCCTACCAGGCTGTTTGCTCCGAGAGCCAGCGCTGGGCGGCCTTGGATCCTTGCCGAAGACTCGCCAAGCCGGTTATGCTGCTGTGTTTATTTAACATATTTACTGCGTTACACTTTCTTTCTGAACCGTTCCAATTTTGCTTTTTTGCGTCAGGGAGGGAGACTGCAGGGCTGATCTGCCGGCACTTTGTAAATCTTATTTTTCTAAGGGGGTTTCTCGCAAATTTGTCCCCAGTCATAAGCAGCCCGGGGGGGGGGTACAGGCAAAATCAGAGATGCGGGGAGGTCCAGACGCTCCTCGGTGGGGTTTGTGCGCGCGTCTCAGCCCGCCACTGTGCGTTCCCTGCCTTCGCTTTCGGGGTGCCATCTCAGTTTTGAGGGGTGGAAACCTAGAGCGAAACACCAAACCCTGCGATATGGTTTCGACCACATCATGTTGGGGTCTCATTCGCCCATATATAAAGAAGAAAAGGCAGGCCTGCCCCAAGCCTACTGGGGGCTTTACCTGGTGAAGAGGAGCAGCAGCCATTGCAGCGCAGTGGAGAGGGTGTCCTGGCTGGCGCCGAAGATGTCGGTGATAGTGGACGGCACATACTCCAAGTCCAGCCGCGCGCCGCTGTCGCTCGAGCCCTTGGTCGCCTCCTTTCCTGCCAAGAGGATGAAAGCGTCCATCATATCGCGGGGAGCGGCCCCCGGCCGAAGGCTTTCCCGGTGTTTTAGGAACTTATCGAGAACGAAATTGCTGAAGTTGCGGTTGAGCTGCTCGAATTGGCGGAAGGCGGTGCGCACGGGGTTCGGGAAGCGCTGCAGCCAGGGCAACACGTCCACTAAGCTGCCCGCACCCACCGTGCGCCCGAAATCCTCGTTGTGGCTGAGCAGCCCGAGGAACTCGGCGTCATCGTGGCTGTAGCGGCAGCCAAAGCACACGGCGCTGATAACGTTGGCCACGGCGACCAAGGTCAGCGGCCTCGGGTCGATGAAGGAACCGCCCGCGCTGCCGCGAACCAGCAGCGCCACGAGCTCGCGCGCCTCGCCCAACACGTGGCCCTCAAGGACGCGGCGGCTGCGCGGCTGGCGCGTGGAGAAGGCGCGCACCGTGCTGTAGGCCGCGCGCCGGCGCACCTTCCAGTTCTCCGAGTACCTGCCAAAGGCCAGGCTGCGGCCGTCCGATACCACGCGGAAGGAGGCAAAGGGCGGCCGGTCGGCGAAGGCTACGCTCTGCTGCACCAGGGCTTGATGGATGGCGCGCTCGCCGTTCAGCACAACGACGGGGCAGCTGCCCAGACGGATCTGGAAGACGTCGCCGTAGCGCTGGGCCAGGCGCGCAAACGAGAGGTGCGGCGCCGGGCCCACAGCTGCTGCGTTTCCGATCAGCGGCCACGCGAAGGGCCCCGGCGGCGCGGACGCGGGCTGTCGCCGCCACTGCCTCAGCAGCCGCTGGCCCACGTGCACGGCGACCAACAGGGACAAGAACAGCAGCAGCGTGGTCTGCTGTGTGGACAGTGGGCTAGGCGGCCAGGGATCGTCTGGACTGAGGCTGGTGGCCATGCTGAGGACAGAAGGGCGAAGGTATGACATTCAGGTGTGCAGAGAAAGGAGTGGGTGTCCCAGGGCCCTAGCCCAGCCTTGGGTCTACCGCGCGCCGTTTGGTGGAGAGGAGGTCGTGTGAAGGTCACGTCAAGGCTGGATCTCTGGGGAAATGGCTGAAGCCGTCCCTTCGCATCCCCTACCCACTCCCCAACGGAGAAGGGAAGGGACGTGTTCTGCCTGTGACTCAGTCCCCCCGCCCGTAGCCGCGTAACGGTTTCTGCAATTTGGGGACAGACAACACCGGACATCGAGGCGGTGGCGTTCGGTTCCCTCTAAAGTGCCTATCTTCACGGTCCCTGCGCCCCACCTCACCCCCGCCCTGCGATGACCCTTCAGATGAGGACGCGCGGGAAGGTGGATCTGCGGACAGACTAACCTGCACGAAGGCGAGGTTTCCAGGGGCGCGGGACAGCCGGCTCAGAGAAGGGGCTGGGGCCTTTGCAGAGGACAAGAAGTCAACCCGAGCGTCTCCCGGAACTCAGAGGCGCCCTAGACACCTGCTGCCCGCTCTAGATGCTTTAAGCACCCACTCCGGCGTCCCTTGGCGTCGTCAGAGCCGAGGGCGCATAGGTTGGGGTGGGGATAGAAAAAGATGCCTCCTTTGCCGAGCCCCGCTGCACTTGGAGCTCTGGCAAAGTCGGGGTTTTCTCACAGCGTTGGGATTCGATGAGTGAAGTCAATCCCCAGCCCACAGCCTCCGCGCGACTCTCACAGCTAGGGTCGCAAAGATGTGGCCCGTTTGCACACAGTCACTCCAGAGAGTCCAAACACGCCATCCCACTTCTCCGAGTTTTAAGGACTCTGTAAGGGGAGGAGGAAGCAGGACCTGGCGGGGGCGGGGCTTGCCGGGATGGGGGGCGGGCGCGCCAGGACCTTCCACGCCGCACCACCCGCATTCGGTGGGTGAGCGCCGATGGTCACGCGAGGCCGCCGCGGCGTTCTCCGACGGGCTTTAAGCAGTAACTGGCCGCTTCACCAGATGGGTTGGTGTGTAGTTTGTCCGAAAGCCCTCTTAATCCCTGTCATCCCCAATATAAACTGCTGGTTCAGATGTGCCCACCGTGGGAGCGCGCCCCACACCCCGAGAGTTTAGTTGGCTCAACCTCCCTTCCCTTGCAGGGACTTGAGCTTCGTTCTCTGACAATCGCTCTGGATCCTTGGGTGCCCGATCCTGAGAAGGGAAAACTGTCCGTTTGGAAATGAGGAAAGCTTGTTTGTGGTGGCGGTTTGCCTCGTTATTTTTTTCTCCCCTCTCCCTCCCGCCCACTTTTTTTGTTAAATGTTCTTTCAAACAAATCGGCCCCTCAGTTGAGGCCCTTTGGCGCCCAAAGTTCTTGCACCACATGCGGGAGATGCTTGAAAGACTGCACCCCGCCCCAGAGCCCGACTTCCCTCAGCGCACAAAGAGCAGCACCCCGGGTGCGCTGGTGGCCCTGAGGTTTCCCGCGGCGAGAGCACCCCAGGTGGCACCGCCCACTAGAGGCGCGCGTCCTCTCTGGCTGCGTCCCAAGGCCGTTGGCGCAGGGCCCGGAGCCGAGCTGGGACTAACGTGGCGAAGAGGACGCTCGGAGGATTCCGGGCTTAAGAGACCTGGGGCGGAGGGGTGGGGGCAAACCTCCCCGCCTGCGAACTTTGCCGGGTTGAAAATTTTCCTCTGTAGTCACCTCCCCCTTGCGTGCGGAGCTGTGCCTTGCGTGCGCCGCTTCTGGAAAGTCAGCTTCATTCATATCCCTCGGCGCTCCTCGCCGCCGCCTCAGCTGGGCTTCTCACGGCACCTGTCACGCAGGGGCGGCAACCCAGGGCGGGGTGCTGGCCCCGCCACACTGCGTGGCGCACGCAAGGCTGCAGTCCGCGGCGTCCGCCCGTCCAGGGAGGGGGACGCTGGGTCCACCGCTCATTAGTGGGGTCGGGGCGTGCTTCGCCACCACGCCGCGCATTCGCAGCACCATCCTCTTGCAGGGAGTGGGTGCGCTCGCTATGGGCGCGTGTTCTTCAAAAGTGAAGCCGGCGGCTGGCCTCCCTACTGGCTACTACAAAACACGGGGGAGAACAAGGTCTTCTCTGCAAGCCTGGGGAAAGGGCGAACCCAGGAGGTAGGAGTGAGTGGGATGTATCATAGTTAACCAGGTAGGAATTGTACCTCCGGGCCTCCGGGGTCATCAAGTGTAAGTATAAAAGTTGCTGGTTCAGAGGCACTCACCGTGGGGGCGCACCCCACGCCCCAAGAGTTTAGTTGGCTCGACCTCCCTTCCCTTGCAAGGACTTGAGCTGGACAACGCTGCGCTTTGCGCTTTGTGGGCGCTACAAATCTTATGCTATTGATCACCCCATTTATAGATGAGGAAACTGGGGTTCAGAGAGTTTACGTGACTTACCCAAGATTACACAGCAACGAAGAGGTGGAGCCAGGATTTAAAGCCAGGAACTCCCACTGCAGATCCCTCATACAAGTTTACACAGAACGAAATCCGCAGATAAAAGTCACAAGTGCTTCTTTTCAGCCTGCCTTTAAAAAAAAATTCTTCAGCTAGAAGGATTTTAAAAAATAGTTTACACTGTATTTTGTTTTCAGAATTGGAACAGTGTGCTTACCTTTTGCAATCAAAAAATCAAATTGGTTTCGAACGAAGGGAGGCTGTGGACATTCTCATATCTGATCGTGTAATAAATTTAATCTACTGATTAAATTTTAAAGAAACTAGAGGGGAATCTGAGAAGAGACTGACTTCTTGAGACTTTTTGAAATCAACCATAAAATGTCTGACCTGATAAGAAAATACCTTTTTGTAAGTCTCCATTCAGAAGCTTTTGAGAGGTTCTCTGGAAATGACTTCTTATCCCATGATGGAGTACTTAGATCAGTGATAAAGTTAGGTTTTTTTTTTTAGCAACTTGGTAAATAAGCATTGATTTCTCAGAGCTTGTGTTGGCCTATATAGCCTTTGGGATGAGTTTCATAACCTTAACAGGACCAACTTTGCAACATCCCCATCCTAATAATTCAAAACTCTAGCACGTGCACCAGTCTCTCGTTAGCCTTTTCTTTAGTTGATGGGAATTATCTGTGGGCTGATGCCAATTCTGAGCTCTTAGCATTCCTGAAAGCCTTTATCACAGTATCTCTACCAGAATCAAAGTGGGTGAAAGTTGCCTTTAAATCAGTAAATTCCTATCTTAAAAAGTATAAAGTAGGATTGTTCTCAAGACCTCCTGTTTAACTGCTAAAAAATGCCATATAATTTCTAGATAAACTAGAATGAATGCCTTCCTGCCACAGCAAATAGTAGAGACGTGTCTTTTCAACTATGGTTCTTTGGGCTCTGTTCGTGTTCTAGGACAGGCCTGGAAAAGCAAAGGAACCAGTTGGGCAAATGCTGTCAGAAGACAGACTCTTATCAACTATGACAAACAACAGTGACTGCCTATATATAGTTAACACCTTATTCAGAATCTTCAGGTGACTCGTGGTGCAGACCTCTGTCACAGGCCCCCATCTGGTACCTGATGAAGACTTTTGGTAAATCCAGAGTCTTGTGGGTACCTGTGATCCAGCTCCTGGGCAAGGTGGGGCCCTCCCTCTGGTGAGAATCTATACCAGGTTCTTTAATTATCAGCACAATTTCTCAACTCAAGCAGGTATCTAATGCTCAGGGATCTCCTTCTAGTCAACAACATAGAATATAGGGATTTCATCCTCCCAAATCTCAAACTTGAATTGTTTGCTGCAAATAACTTTCAAAAGAACAGCTAAACTAGAGGGATAGTCTAGAGGTTTGAAATACTTTGTATTGTGTTGATTCCAAGAAACAGAAACCTAGGTTAAGCTTGTTTAAGCTGGACAGGAATGCACTGGCTAATGTGGCAGAGAGGATAAGTTTGGTACCTCGAAGGATGGAAGGTCCCAGGGCTTCTCCATTCCATCTCAATCTATGCTGATCTCTGCTTGGCCTTTGTTCTTCACACATGCTTTGCGTGGTGGGGAAGCTGGCAGTGATCAGACTCAAATTAACAACCCCAAAAGATGAGAACATTTTTCTTTGAAGATCATTTATACAAAGCCCATGGAAGGACTTGGAAGGGCCAAGTCAGCATCAGGTATCCACGCCTGTGGCCAAGGATGCTGGGTCTGTTATCAGAAAAACAGGGATGGGGGAAAACATGCTGGTAAGGCAAAGATAAGAGCGACCACAGACTGCTCTATGTATCCCATTTCTGCCAGTCGCTCACTTTTAGGTTGGAGGATAACCCTCATTATTAGCATTATTGGATAGATGCATTGTGGTTGGAGCCAGTAACTAAGAAAACTCAGCCCTTGTGCCATCAGGTTGGAAGTTGGCTTTCTTCATGGGCTTTCTCTCTTGCATGATCTCTGTGTTGATTTTATGGGTAAGCACTGTGCTCTCCGACCCCCCCTTCCAAACACACATACGTGCATGTACCAAGATGAGAGTGGAGAAGCAGCAGCAGTCTCTGCAAGTCCTTGATGTATGGGCAGGGCTGGATTAAGGCATGTGAGGGCCCTAAACACTGATCATCTGTGGTGTCCCAACTCTGCTTAAGCATTGAACAGGATATGTAAGTTATATGTACACGTGTATGTGTATATATATATATATATATATATATGTTTGTGTGTATGCGTGTTTGCGTCTTAGCTATCCATGATGTAACTTCTTTTTTAAATACAAGTATAAGCAATTGAACACAAAAGTCATGCATGCCATTTTAGTGGAATGAGATGAACTGGATTATAACATTTTTAGTGGACACGGGGTACTAAGATTTTTACTATATACCACATTTTCTACAAAAGAATGTTTCACATATTCTACAACAAAGAAAATTAGTCAGTGAACTTAGTTTTTTCAGCAATCAATGTAAAATTCTCTTGATCTCCCACAATGAAAAATTGACCTCCATCAATAGTGCTTTAAATGGCTGGTATTTCAATTTTGATG